CAGGTCTGAGAGAGCCCATAGTTGGATGGGGACAGGAACATACAGAATCTGAGGGCAATGTCATCTAAAACAATCTGGGACCAGCAGGGGAAGGGTCAGGGAAATTTCCAGAAATATGCCTCATGACCACAGATGGGACAGGGAATTATGACCTGCCACTGGCTTCCTGGGCTCAGCTAACACTCCTTTGGAACTAACTTCCTAAGAGTAGCAAGACATCTGTCTGCATCCCTGGCCTCTGTCCACTGGATGCCAGGTGCAACTCCCCTACTGTCACAACCAAAGGACATTGCCACATGTCCCTCAAGTCAGTTGAGAGTCACTAGTTCAGAACTTGGGAAGGTTAGATAAGAGACATAGCTACCAAAGCCAACCCAAGGGCCTCATATGATCCACAGTCTGGGACTGTGAGTCAACATCACAATGAGTGCTCATACTTACCAGAGAGATCACTCTACTCTGCCTACCACAGTGCCCTAGATCTGAGCCCTTGTTTTTTCAGACCATTGTCAGCCAGGTGCTGGTGGCTCACGCCTGTAATCCTAGCTATTCAAGAGGCTGAGATCTGAGGATCGAGGTTCAAAGCCAGCCCCCCGCAGGAAAGTCCATGTGACTCTTATCTCCAATTAATGACCCCAAACCAGAAGTGGTACTGTGGCTTAAAGTGCTACAGCCTAGCCTTCAGTAAAAGAGCTCAGGGACTGTGCCCAGGCCCCAAGTTCAAGCCCCACACCAACAAAAACAACAACAATAAAAACAACAGTAAGAAACAAAAAAAAACCCACTGTCATCTCAGCTACCTGTGGGCTGGATAGGGAGAATGCATGCGTGATCCCCACTTTACAGATGAGAAAAGTTAAGCCTGAGGAGTTTAACTAAACCAGTCATACAATAAACTTAACCAAACTAGGCCAGAAGCGCAGGGTGCCTGGTGTGATAGCCAGCAGTATACTTGGCTCGTGGCACTTCAACTCCACCATCCTCACTTTATCTCTGGGCCTCTGAATTGATATCTGACCCCACTGTCACAGTGGGGAGGCAAGCCAGGCCCCATGGTTTCACCCACTGGAAGGCCCTGCTATGTCTTTGGGAGAATCCTCCATCCCCACTCTTGCATGAGGGATGCCTCCCCTCCGTTCCCCTCCCCAAGGCATATAGCTTTGGCCCTCAAAATCTTGACCAGAGTGCACTTATTATATGCATGGGGCCTGCTTCCCACAGAACACATCCTCTGCCCTAGCAGAGAAACCAATGCTGCCTGCTAGAAAGTTCTTATCCACTCCCAACACATATCTGGGATATATGGTCCTCTGCCCTAGGTGACTGATGGAGGGATTCATGGTGGCATTAACAGGTTAGGGAGAAACAATAGCCCTGGAGGTCAAATAGAAGAGCCACATTCTAGAAACCAGGGGAGGAAATATGGACAGAGGAGGAAAGACATATCACTCTAACCACAGCCAGACCCCTGCTGAGCAGGTGGCTTTGGGCTCCAAACATCTGAGGCTCCAAGTCACCTGAAGAGGCTGTGCCTTTAGGACAGAGTATCAGGTTTGGGGAACAAATGCCCAGGAATTGAAAAGTGAGATCTGACAGGCACACAGCTCTTCAGACATCTTCAGGCAGGGACATAGAGTCTCCAACAGAGTGCCCTCTCTACCCCCCACCAGGCACTGGTAGCTTACATCTCTAATCATAGCTACTCAGGAGGCTGAGTTCAAAGCTAGCCCAGGCAGAAAAGTTTGTGAAACTCTCATCTCCAATTAACCAACAAAAGCCAGAAATGGAGGTGTGGTTCAAGTGGAAGAATACCAGTTTTGTGTGAAAAAGCCAAACAAGAGCACAAGCCCTGAATTCAAGCTCCATTATTGGCATGCATGCACCATGCATCCACGCACGCACATGTGCTTATGCACATACACAAGCAATATCCCTATACAACCTAGCTAGCTCCACTACCCACCACCTTGCTGCAGCTCCTTGCTCAGTCCTTTCCAGCCACACTTATCCCAGCTAGTGTACTTATGACAGCAGATACCCCCCTCCCATTTCCTCCCTCACACTCCTGGCACTCAGAGGCTCCTCAGTGCCCATTTGACCAGCAAGCAGCTCTCATAGGACCAGTCCTGGGCCCATTGTCAGTGGCTGGGAGAATGCTCTAGTTCTAGGAGGCACAATTCCCTCACAATTTTAACAAATCCTCATTGAGCTACTGCCTGGTGCTAGGCACAGTTCCAGGCTCCAGTTATTATAGTGGACAGAACAAATCTCTGCCCCTTATGATTTTGTCTCTGATGGAGCTAGACCTTAAAGCAGCCAGTACCCTATGGAGGACCTGGAATTTATGAAAAGAGTCAAGGCTCCTTCAGGGAAAGTGTGGGTAAGGCAGACGCACCCTTTGGCATCTTAGAGTGGCAGATACAGGGCTGCAGCCTTCAGACCAGAGACTCAGAGGCAGGCTTGGGACTTCCTCTTGGGAAATTGAACTCCTGGGGAATTGTAGTACAGCTCTGGGGAAGGGGCACAAATTTGGAATGGTGTCTTAATCTTTGAGGCTTTCTAGGCCTCTTGGGCCCATGTGAGTACATATGACAATACATGTTGGCATGCCTCAGCTCTTAGTCTTGTCCCTAAAGAGTAAGTCTCAAAGCCCAGATGGGACCTTCCTTGATGGCTCTCTGGGTGGTCCTATCAGCTCCAGGTTCCTCTGTTCCTAACAATCCCCAGAGCGTCAGAACTTCTTATAGATAAAAACCACAGAGGCTCAGGGAGCACAAGACACAGCTCACTGCGCCTGTGCATGCTTAGAAGGGACCTGGAGCACCAGCCCCCTTTTCCATCTTCATCAGCACTGACAACAGCTCCTAGTTCTCACATCCAGCTGAATGGGCTGTCCTGGCCTCCTCACAGATCATCTGACAGCCCCTCGGGCACTGCTGACCACCTGGGCACTTCAGGTCCTAAGCTGGCTCCATTCCCTTTCATCACAGAACATCTAGAACTTACAACTCCCTTGCTCTGACCCAAGCAGAGGACTGACTGCTGTGTGAGAGAATGTTTACAATCCTGAACCAACTCTTCCTAGCAATCACTCCTTACGGGTTATTAGTAAGTATGGAGTGCTGGTCCACAGCTTATACATTTGTTACCCACCAAGGATGGTGTGTGGGGTGGGGGGGAGCCTTGAAGCCTCACCTACTGCTTAAAGCCTCACCAGTGGGCAGTAGTTATCCTTAGCCCCACTTTACAGATGCACAACTGAGGCTCAGCATCATTGAGGGATTTTACAGCCAGCCAATGGAGATGTTAGGATCACACCTCAGGTTCCATTAACTCAGGCTCTGCTCCGTGTCAAGACTACAGAACTCCTTGGGGGCACAACTGGGCACATGTATTGAAAACAAGGAAACCCTTCTGAGCTTGAAGTGGGCTTTGAGGCAGCTTGAGCCTGCTTTCTTTGGCATCCACCTCCTAAAGAAATCAGCAGGCAAACTTAATACTGTTCCAGACAGTCCCTGCTCCAGAGTCAGGCTTTGAAGCAGTGAGCAAGGCAAGGCTGGTAATGGAGAGGCTTCCCAGGGTGCTGACACGCCACCCCCAAACCCATCCCAGGATCCCGATGGAGACATCTCAGGTGGGGAGAGGAGCAGAGAAGCCCTGCAGAAGGCCTGTATCCTCAGGCACAGCAGTGGGGAATGCTCATAAATCCCCACCCCTGCCCTAACCTCACACAACTGCCACCAAGTTCACAGCCAGATCCCTGCCAGGTCAGCCTCCAGCCAGTGAAGGCATGGCCTGGGCAACTTCTAGCCAGCTAAAATCTGAAGCTCAAAGTGAACCAACTTGGACCCCATGAACTCACCTAGAGAAGAGGTGTGAGGGAGCCCAAATGGCTTTCCTTGTGGCCACTGACTTGAGGCAAACTGCCAGCCACCCTGATCTCTGGAGCAGAATGGAAGAAGGGCCCTGCTTCCTGGCCCTTTGCCCTTTTCTGCTCTCAACAAAACTTCCCAAGGGGTTGTGATGAGTCCTTGCGGCTAAGAGGCTGCTGGGAAGCTCAGAGGCACTGTAGATTCCCTGCATCCCCAACCAGAGGCCTCTGGGTTCCAATCCCAAGAGCTGGAACTCAGGAAGGTCAGTAGAATGCTGAGGTAGACAAGACACTCATCCTCTATGGGAGGGTAATAGAGGGGCACAGGTGCCAGGAATGACACAGGGCTACCCCTTCTCTACAGAAGTGCAGAAGTGGAGGGCTGCATCTGCCTCTTTGGAAAGGGGGAAGGGAAGTTACATCCTTAACTCCCTTCTGAGAACCACGTGTGTGCAGGAGGGCCCCTCCTCCTAACCAGCCCGGAAGTGGTAGAAGTTTGCCACTGGATTGGAAAGCAGTTCCAAGGGCAGCTGTGTGTGTGGGGAGGGAGGGAGGAGGGTCCCAAGGAGGCGGTCTGCCGCTAATTTAAGGTCTGTCTCCTCCGTTAATATTTTATTGGGATAGAAACGTGGCGCCTGAAGATCTGTTTACCATCCCAAGGGCCTGAGCTTTGCCTGAGGAGGGGGACTGAACTCTGACTGGGGGGAGAAGGAGGCAACCTCATCACGATCCTAGATCTCCAGTCACTCAATGACAGGTGCTGCCACTGAGGGTCCTTTCGGTCATCTCTGGGCACTGGCCCCGCGGGCCTCAGCCAGGGGCAGGCCTGGGATGGCCAGATATGCTCCCTCAAGGTGTCACTGGGAACCTCGTTCACAGCCACTCAGGTGTCGCAGCTCTGGTCCCTTTGGGGCTTCAGAGAGCCTGGGCCCTTCTCGGTCCCCTTAATCCTTGGCCTAGTCCCACGGAGCAGGGAGGGGGGCGGTGGTCCCGGGCGGCCCGGGTGGCAGAGCTCAGCGCGCAGTCTCCTCGCCAGCCCCTCGTACCGGAGAGAATGGGTGCAGCTCCCTCCCCAAGGACCCCGGACCCTCGGTGGAGAGCCTTGGTGGGGTGGGTGGACACGCTTTACCTTCCATGGACATGGGTTCCAGGATGCCGAACTGCTTGAGGACAGCGATGAACAGCAGCACCACCACGGCCATGGCGCAGAGCTCCATGCCCTGGATGCCCATGGCGACCGGGACTGCCGGGGGCCGGGGTGCACCCCTCGCCCGCGCTGCCTGAGCCCGCCCGGCCTCTCGGGGCGGCGGCGGCTCACATGCCCCCGGCAGGCGGGGCCACAGACGCTGGCGGAGCTGGGACCCCGCGGAGGGCGGCTGTAGCGGGGAGTCGGACCCGCCGGGAGGCTGCAGGCGGCCCGGCCGCCGGGCCCGGGCGCAACTTTCCAAATCAACCTGCAAACTTCGAAGTGCGGAGCCGCAGAGCGCCGCTCGGGGGACCCAGGAGGGCCGGCGGCGCCTCCATGCCCTGCGCGGGCACTAAGCCTCTGCCGGCCCCGGTCCTGCCCCGAGGGCGCGGGGCCACCACCGCGGCGGGGGTCCCCGGCGTTCCCCGCCGCCCCAGGTTCCATCGCGGCTCTCCGCGCGCTCATTGGCCTAGGCGCGGCGACCACTGGGGAGGCGGCCCCGGCGCCCCCCCTCCCCCGCAGGGCAAGGGCGGAGGGAGGCGGGGAGGGCGGAGGGGGGCGGGGGCCGAGAGGGCACCGAGGGAGGAGGGGGCGGAGAGGGATGGGAGGTGGAGGAGGACGGATCGGGGAGGGGGGCGGGGAGGAGATGGCTCCGCCCCTCCCGGCCCCGCGCCGAACGCCTCTGGCAGGTTGCCCCCGCTCTCCTGCCGGCCCCCGGGAGGCCACGCGGTCTGTGGCTTCGCCCACCGGCGGGCGGAGGGGAGGGACGGGGAGGGGGGGGGCGGAGGAGAGAGCCGGCTGCCCGCGAGGCGATGGTCCCCGCGGAGAACCGGCGGGAGGGGTGCGTGGCCCGGATTCCCCGTCCCCCCGGGAGTCAGTCGGCCTGCGGAAGGTCCGGGAAGCGCTCTCTGCTGGGATGATCCCCGCCAACCTCAGCCCCCCGCCGGAGACTGAACTTGGCCCTGACTTGGCCCCTTGGAATATGGAGAAGTTAGTGAGAGTTCTCCAGTTCTGGAAAGCCGCGTGCATGTCAGAGCTTTGGGCGGAGCGCGGGCTTCGGCATGAGGCCCCGGGGGGAGGCCGAGTTCGAGGTCCGGCCTCGCCGCGCGACCTCGGGCCAGCCACGGGTTTGCAGCCTGCGTTTCCTTCCTAAGGGGTCTAGTGGCCTTTCCGACGGTCAGGAAGTGCAACGCCAAGGCCGGGCTAACTCGTGAGTGGGTGGCGCTCGGGACAGTGCGTCGAGCACCCAGGGCCCGTGAAAGAGCACGGGCGGAGGAGGGGACGGGGCGTGGCAGGGCGGAGCCCGCGGGGCTCCGAGGGGTCCGGCGGGAGGGGGCGAGGAGCGGGGACTCTGCTGCCCTCCAGCGGGCGCTACTGTGGCAACGCGGGTGTCCACAGGAGGATTCTGTAGGGGCTGCCGTCACCACCAGATCCTTCCAGCTGTCTTAGCAGAGGGAGGGAGAAATTTAGCGCGGTTCCAGCAGGCGTGTGGACCCTGTTCGGATCCAAGGCCTGAACATTTGCAGCTCCCGTTGATCGGGTCTCTGCTACCCACTCACCCGTCCATTCAGCAAACACTGAACGTGCACGCGGTCCCAGGCTCAGAGCTCCCTGCCGAACTCCCTCCTATGTCTCGCATATCTGGGTCCAGGGTTGGGATTTACTTGTAACCCTACCCTCTTCCTCTCATTTTTCAGATGGAAAAACTCAAAACTTGATGGCGAGTTACCCAAGGATTCACGGTACAACCCAGGCCTGCTGGAATTCTGGAATGGTTGCTTTCCAGACACCAAGCTGTTTGCCTGGAAACTGACCCCCAGAGAAGGCCCAGCAGTACATACAATCTCACTATTTCGAATGCCTAATTTGGGTGAGATTTTTGAAGAACTATGACTGCATAGCTTTAATTTCCAGTTGAGATGCAGTGAGTTTCCACTGACCAAGACAAATATTCTAAGCAGGGAAGGTAAGATCTCACCAAAGACAGCTGTTGGAGTACTTACACCAGAGATATAATTTTAGAAGTCAAGGTGTCTTGTCATCTATTTTACACACAGTTAAGTGCAGAACAAAATCTAACCTAGTCGATGCTCTAGCTAGTTACCACCAACGCTAAATCTATGGCCTAGAGAGCCCATGAGTACATAACTATTCGAAGCCTCAGTTTCTTCATCTAAAAAATAGGGTGATAGTGAACCTGCCCAGGCATTCCCAACAGATAGTGCTGGCAGGGCCTCTAATGTCTGTAGGTGATATACCCTTAGGGCTAGATGTCCATAGAGAATGGGGAAGGAGCTGTCTCAGGGGTCTTCCTGAGCCTGGCTCAGTTTCCCTTATGCTCCTGAGCATCTTCCCAGTTCCCAGTGAAAGCTTCAATGACTATCCATAAACACTGAGCTATAAACGAGCCATCGATCCCCTAGCTGTGCGATGTAAAATATTAACGATGCCTAAGTGGGTACCAGGCTTGAGAGCAGAGTGTCCGCTTGGTATTAGCAGCCTGGGCTGTGGGCCTAATGGATGGAAGCTGACTCCCCTGCTCACTCCTAGTGTGGAGCTTGTCAGCTGTGGGGCCAACCCAGGCTGGCTGTGGCTGGGCGGCCTGATGATGTTGTCCCACCTCGAAGGAAGCTGGCAGAAATGCTCCCTTGTCCCAAGCTTCTTCTCACTGCCCCAGGGGTACCAGGCAAAGCCCTCCACTGTAGCCTTTGTCCCCATGAGGACTGCCTGCCCTGGCTTCATTCACCCCTCCCCAGTGTCCCCCAAATCCACATGTGTATTGGGAGTTGGTTGGTACTCATTGCCTTGGGGCAAGGGATGGGCTGGGGGCACAAACAAATCTCTACAGGGCAAGGTATTGGGGCTTCTTCAGCAGCAGCAAGACCAGGGGACATTATGAGGGAGGAGCCTTGGATGGGGGGGTGGCCTTGAGCCCTCATTTGAAGACCTCAGGAAGTCTGGTGGCTCAGAGGTGCCCTGACTCCTGGTCTAGTTTAGGAAGTTGTCAGAGAGAAAGGTGGGGGGAGGGGGGGGGGGAAAGTGTGTATGGGTTACCCCAGACTTAGGCCTTCAGCTCACACTTCAGGTTGTTAGTGCCTTTTGCCTGAAATATCGAAGCTGCCTCTTAGTGCTACTTCCAGGAAGCCAACCCAGATTATACCAGCCTGCTTCCTGGCCTCCAGTATTCTGTGGTGTGAGCCACCTCAGGTGGCGTGAGCCACACCACAGGCCCTGCTAATCCTCCAACAGTTTGACTGTCTCTCCATCTCCTCTGGCGTCATATCATCCTTTTCATCTTTTCTCTTTCTCCCTAACTTTGCTGTTAATTGCCAGAACTCTGTGGGTGTGACTGACACTGATTGGATGTCCCGTGCTATTTGAGTTGCTGGAAGACAGGCCTGGACCCATGCTGTGTAAGGGACCCTTACACAGGGTCAGCTGGCCCAGTCCAGTGCCAGAACGTGGCAGCTTTCCTGGAAGCAGGCAGGGGGAAAGCCTTCCCTTAGTTCCAGTGTGTTCTATTAGGCAAACAAGCATTGCTCAAATTATTTATCCTTCTCATATTTCAAGAAACCAGACAAGAATTCTCAGAAGTGGAATCCCATACCTCACAGAGTTACCCACAGGACTTCCTCATTTGTGTTCCCAGGTGCCTCAGACCTAGACCACCCAAAGCCAGTCTCACCACCTTCCCCCAAACCTGAACTGCCTCCAGTGTCCCGAGCTTGACTGCTACACCCAGTCTCTGGCTCTTCCTCTTGAATCCATCTGTTACACTACTGTCCCTTCTACTGCCATGCTCTGGCACTGTGCTCCCTGTCTACCTCCACTCTATCACCACCAGCCCAGCTACATCACCTTCCCTCTCTCCTAGGTGCCTGCCACCAATGCCTCCTCCTATCTTCTGGGTTCAGCCAGATAAGCATCAGATCCCATCCCTCCCTCCACTGCAGTCCCGAGAGATGATCAGATTGGTGGGCACCAGTTGGGACAGGCCAATGAGAGCCCTCTAGGAGGGCTCCAGTAGGAATGCGAGGGAGTAAGTCATTACCCTTCCCCTAGGTGAGAGCAACAAGCCTGAGAATATAATCATCTCAGGTTAAGTCCAGTTGGCAAAGCTACGTGCCTGAATCCAGCTGTGCCTGATGGTAGATCTAAACCTCCATCTGTCTGTTATATGAGCCAACATATCCTCACATTGTTGTTTAAGCCAGTGCAAATGAGGGTTTCTGTCTCTCATGACCAAGGTCTGAATACCTATCCCATTACACATAAAAGAAAGTCAAAATGAAAAACAAAAACAAAGACTTCAAATGTGAACACTTTAATATATCCTAGGCATTTTAACATAGCTCATTTCTTCCTTCCTCAAAGCTCCTACTCATGTGACTGTATAAGAGAATGAAGTTGAAGCACACAGTGATCTACACTTTGCTTAAGTATACGTGGCTGATAGAAACTCAAATCAAGCCAGTTCCAGAGCCTGAGATTTCATGGCATCATGGCCCTGTGCCTTTAGACCTGTGAACTCCACCCTCTCTTCCACTGCCTTGCTCATGTGCACCAGATACCTTTGCAGCAGCCCAAGTGAGCACAACTCTGACCCCCTCACATGTATTCCCGGAGCTGGGTCTTTTTTTTTTTTTTGTCAGTCCTGAGGCTTGAACTCAGGGCCTGGGCACTGTCCCTAAGCTTCTTTTGCTCAGGGCTAGCACTCTACCACTTAAGCCACAGTGCCATTTCTGGCTTTTTCTGTTTATGTGGTACAGAGGAATCGAACCAAGGGCTTCATGCATGTTAGGCAAGCAGTCTACCACTAAGCTACATTCCTAGCCCTGAGCTTAGTCTTTATCCTTCTTCTACCTTCTTCCTTCCTTCTTCCCTCCCCTCCTCTTCTTTCTTCCTTCACACCTGCCCATCCTTTGGGTCTCTGCTTCATTGCCCCTTCTGTTAGGTTCCTTCCCAGACCCCACTTTTCCATTTGTTATTCATCTCTACCATGACCCTACCCTTGCCAGTTACTACAACACAGACACTGATATTTTCTTGTGGAAGCTCCTAGAATCTTCCAGAATGATGGGTATCGCCTGCCTTCTGTAAATATTATAAT